AATTCACTCTGTCGGCATTTTATTTTATCTTTGCAACAATGAAAACAAGACAATGGTAACACACAGCTGGATGTTCTGATCTAGACAAGGTTTCTCTCACTAAATTAAAGCTTGCAAAAAAGCTGTGAAGGTCTCCTCATACAGTTAATCAAATAAAGTTACAGACTGCTAAGGAAAATAGTAAAATGTTATATAAACCTTGGAAAAGAGTCTTTGGACACTTTCTATTGATGACTCTGAGCGACACCTTCTCCTGTTGAGGAATGGCTGAGATGGTCCTCTGTGTGTGTCTCCCAATACTTAATGATCAGATCCTAAAGGAGTCCATTTACAGTGCTTTGAGAAAGTATTCGCCGCCCTTTAACTTTTCAACCTTTGGCCATATTTCAGGCTTCAAAATAAATTTAACATTTTCTGTAAGAATCAAAAAGTGGGACACAATCATGTAGTGGAATGCAATTTATTGGATATTTTGAATTGAACACCCCCCCCTAAAAAAAAAAAAAAAAATGATACCCCCACCCCCCAAAAAAAAAAAAAATGATACATAGAACTCACCTGTGAGTAATGAAGTCTCCATATAAATGTACCTGCTCTGTGATCGTCCCAGAGGTCTGTTTAAAGCACAGAGAGCATCATGAAGAACAAAGAACACACCAGGCAGGTCTGAGATACTGTTGTGGAGAAGTTTGAAGCCAGATTTGGATAGAAAACGGCTTCCCAAGCTTTAAGCATCTTAAGCCCCGTGCAAGTGATAATATTGTAATGGAAGATTATCAGATTGCTGCAAATCTATGAAGACCCAGCCATCCCTGATCAGAGATGCAGACGCCCATGATCACTCTGGATGAACTGCAGAGATCTACAGCTGAGATGGGAGACTCCATCCATAGGGAAAACATCTGTCATTTACTGGACAAATTTGGCCTGTATTAAACAAGGCCATTTCATAAAGATATCCGTAAAAAGTCTTGTTTAAAGTTTGATACAAGACACCTGGGAAACAAAGCAAACATGTGGAAGAAGGTGCTCTGGTCAGATGAAACCAAAATCAAACTTTGGAGAATGTTATATTTGGTGTAAAAGCAACACAGCTCATCACCTTGAACACACCCTCCCCTTTGTCCAACAAGGTGGTGGTAGCATTATGGTTTGGTCCTGCTTTTCTTTAGCAGGGACAGGGAAGATGATTAATACTGATTGGTAGATGGATGGAGCCAAATAGAGTATCATTCTGGAAGAAAACCTGTTGGAGTCTGCAAAAGAGCCAAGACTGGGATGGAGATTTACCTTCCAACAAGACAATGATCCAAAAGATGGAGCAAAATCTACAACGGAATGGCTCATAAATAAACTTATCAAGGTGTTAGAATGGCCAAATCAAAGTCCAGACCTGAATCGAATTGAGAATCTGTGGAAAGAACTGAAAACTGCTGTTCGCAACCTCACATAGCTTGAGCTCACTTGCAGGGAAGAATATCAATCTCTCAATGTGCAAAACAGAGACATACCCCACGCGACTTGCAACTGTAATATCAGCAAAAGGTGGTGCTACAAAGTATTAACTCAAGGGGGTGAATCATTTTGCTCACCCATATTTTTTTCAGCTGTTCATCTGTTACATTTTTTTTTCAGTTGTTCCACTTAATAATGTTGTCCCATTTTATTAATTCTTCACAAAAAAATACCATTTAAAATCTTTATGTTTAAAGCGTTAAATGTGACCAAAGCGGCTGAATAACTTTACAATTAACTGTATGTTATACATTTTTTATTCTCAGAAATAAATGACAAAACTATCTATCGTTCTATTTCACAAACTAAAATAACCAACTGTAGATTCAGAAATGGGCTTGGACACTCAGAGACATTCTCTTTAAGCCAATCAGATGGAAACTAGTTGGTCTACTTTGGATTATTGTACTGCTGCATAAACTTCTTTATTTTTTAGCTGGAGGGGAAAAAAAGCAATTTTTAGATTGAGTTTCAAAATGTCCCAGTAAAGCACAGAGTATCTATCTGTTGGAGCAGCTCTGTTAGTCCAGCTGGAACACCAGATGACCATTTTACTACCATCATCTTAGAATGCTGTGCTCGTTTTACTCCAGATGGATTTTGAATCTTGGACATTGACCTTAACCAAATGAAGTAATGTCTCCAGTGCTTAAAGATTTAGTTTTAAGTTCTTGTGAGAAATTTTGGCTATTTTTTATCCAACAGATTCAAAAGTAAACAGGCCTAAATGTGACAATTGGAAAGGAACTGGGCTCTGATGATTTAAAAACAAGAAAGCTCTTTTTCATTTAGAGAAATAATTGGGGCTTTTTTCCCCCTTTTTCCCTAAATAGACAATACTTTAAAAGTGCATATTATTCCAATTTTGTTCTTATTTAATGTAGTGGGCTAAGACAATATGGTCTAAATAATTGTATAACAGGATTTTATGCTTTTTAGAGCACTCTGCATGTGCATACAACACTACTCAAATTTAAACAGCCTATATAAGTCTTAAACTTCACCCCATGTTTTAATAACAAGCTACAATTATCACTTGATATTTGACTGTTTCTGATCAGTAATAGTGGAGGTCATTGCAAATGGTTGGTTGGAGTATAGAGACTGTATTAGCTGACAGAGCAACCCACTTAGAGCAGTTATTATAAAAATTCTGAGAAAATATATAAACATTTTGCAATTAATATTAAAATTATTTTTTTTCATCTTTCAATATGCTTTGTCCAAAACTCCTTAAGTGAAAAAGTTTTAGTTTCACCTGGTTTAATTTAGTAAAAAAAATCCTCTTTAAGGAAACTTTGGTTGAGACTTTATCACCTTAGGCCTCTTAAACGACCTGCACTTGTACAGAAATATATATTAGGTCCAAGCCCAAATACAAATGGTGATGGGTCATTGTGGTAACCTTTCAGAACCAAACTGCTGCAAAACGGACCTTTTGCAACACATTTCACTTGAGTTTCATAACTTATAGAGCCAGACTGGTTGAGAAGCCTGCCTTAATGAGCCATTGAGACCAAGAGGACCCCTGCTGTGAGACTGAGACCCCTGGTTGTTGCTGCCCTGACTGCTGAGCTGCTGTTGGATGAAACTCAAGGTTTCCAACAGACATAGGTGTGCAGGTCTGGCATGATTAGAGACAGAACAAACAATATGTCCTTTGATGATGAGTAGAGATAAGTTAACAGGATGGACTGCATGCTATACTATAGTAACATGTTTTGAGCTGTTGCTGAAGCTTGGAAAAATTTTATTTTACTAAGGGTTTAAACACTGATATAACATTAGTGTTCATGCGTTCCTCAGATGCTCATTACATTTCCATTACCAAGTCTGACCAAGAGTCATTTAGTGGAATCCTGACGTCTATTCACTGCTAGATATTTCAAATAGGGAAAATAATCAATTAATTAAAGGTTATTGGTTTTTTATTAAGCAATTCATTTAATAAAACATTATTTGGCTAAATAATGTTTTATTCCCCTCATGGATTTGCATTGTGAATTGGTCTGAAAACATTCCGATTTTTTTAAAATTAGTGAAAAGCTAATTTGATCATATTCCAAATTCTTCCAGATAAACTTTGGTTTCAAAGACAAAATCCATCTTAAACTGTAATATGGTTTTCAACCATGCTTCCCCTTCCTCTTTGTACATAGTTTAGTTTAGTTGAGTTTCACTAGTTTTAGTTAAGAGTGTTAAACTGAAATATGTTTGACTTGGAGCTGAATGATTTTTGTTAATAAACTCATATTTTGAACAGAAGTTGTGGTGAATTTATTCCATGTATGTGCAGAAATAACTATTTGACCATGATTAGTGTTCTAACACACAGTTAGTAGGGTGTGTGTTCATAAACAATTAATAACAGCCCAAAAAATATCTGATTAAATAAGATATTTCCCACCCCTACTGGGGAGGGCAATAAAAATCTTAAAGTATCAGAAAAATAAATTTCCAGTTGGCTAGGAATTGAATAGAACAAAATCACAATATTAATGTGGCATCCTACCTGGATGGGCATTGAACTTAATATCCCAACAGTAGCTATTTCACCCATTTATATAAATCTTTATAAGTTCAGGTTAAAAACAAATGTATATCTAATCTTTACGACCCAATTGGAGATTTAGAAATAATTTCAAGTAACTGATTTTAAAATGAAGTCATTTGGTTACCTGGATCAATGAAACAACATTTAAGACCTAAATTATTAGATTTATGCAAAGTGTTTAGTGTACAGAACTGAAACAAAGTCTTTCAAAAATGATAAGGATCCCTTAAAACATGTTTTGAACTGATAAAAATGAGAACATCCCCCTTTCAGTATGATGCTGTTTTTTGTCACAAGGCTCTTTGGTCTCCAAATCAAGCTGCACCTGATAGCAGACAGAGGAGAATGGGGGTGGGAGAAAAGGCCCTTTCACACTCCCACCCCCAGAAGAGCACAGAAAACACTTTTTCCACCAGCTACCAGCTCATTTTAATGCGCCATCACGCCTACGCAAGAATCCCCTCAAGTAATTAAAAAATCCCTGAGTTTAGGGAGCAATAACGGGTTTAGAAACCATAATTGAAACAGACACAAATATGAATACAAATCATTGTTTAATAAATCAAACAAATTTTACTGTGCTTTAAATGACACTAAAAAGCAAATACTTCTATACATAAAATATCATAATGACAAGAAGCACCTGATAGGTCAAATATAACATATATATATATCTCTATGTATTTTGTTAACATGATGTGACGAAGGTACAAAGTGAACAAGATTAGAAGCTGATTGAAAACTTTACCGTGAAAAGCGGAAAAACAAAAACAAAAAAAACCATTCTACATGATATAATCTCTTCAAATGATAGACATTCACTTCGGAGCTGCAGCTGAACAGGAAACTCTTTTTGCAATGTCAGAACACTGAAACATGAGTCAGTCTTTAATAATTAAAGGAGGATTAAAACAAATGATGAACCAAACCTTTGTTTCCTTTTTTTATTTTCCAACTGAGATGTTTCTTGACAGAGTGTGAAGTGAGGCGTTAAAATAGGCCCAAAAAGCACCTCTAGTTGCTAGAAGGAGCTAAAAAAAAAAAAAAAGTATGCAAAGCAGGAAGAAGGTGGAGTTTCCCGTTAGCTTTTGAGGAAGCGCAGGATGAAATCGAGTAAGGCACTGCCAGCAGTGAAAACACAGAGTAAGGAAAGTCTGCCTTTAGCTTTGCTGCACCTCTGCTTTGGCCCACAAAGCTGATGAAGCAATAAATGGAATAAACCTGCTGTCAGCTGAGAAATATGCAGTAAAGCTTTTATTTGAGACTGAAAGTAGACAAAGACTTTGGTTTTTGTAGGCAGAATATCAGTGCATGACGGCAGATTACAAAGTTGCTGCTTAACTCAAGCAATGAAAGAATTCATGGCTGCTCAAAGGGCAGCCGAGCAGCTCGGATGTTGACATCCTGTGTTACAAGCTGTGGACCTTGGACAGAGGAAAAGGCTTATGTAAATTGTGTCGTACTCCATCCGTCAACATTGCCGTCAAAGTTTTCCTGCTCTTGCTCTCATCCTCTGTGCTTCAATTAGTAAAAGGAAACAACAAAACAACCTGGAACTGTTGGCATGGGCAGCAAAAGAAGAGATGGGATCAGGCTACAAAGAAATGCAGAAGTGAAGAACATGACACAAGCAAAAGCGTTTTCGGCAGGATCTGCTTTAATTTTGTCTTGTAGCGTGAGAATGTTCTCACATTGTAGTGAACTGACTGTGAGCTTGTCTCAGCTTGGCAGCAATCTGGGGATTCAAAATAAAAATGTATAGGTTATAATTAGATTTTTCATTTTTTATTTTATTAATTATCTGGAGTCAATGCATCCTTTTTCCCAATAGGGAAACAATGCCAAAGTGTAACAGATTTAAATGAAATGCTCTTACCGTCTCATAAAACTTGACTTGCTCCTCCAGATACTGCTGCATTACCCGATTGTAGTCGTAGATACGGTTGCTATGGAAGTGGTTCATCTCAGCTGTACCGCAGAAAAAAAGGAAAAGGAAAAATTAACGAGTTTAGATGGCACTAAACGACAAACTGCACTGATGTAATTCTTACCTTGTAAAGCGTAAGACATGGTGCTGAGACGTTTCGCCATAGTTGTTTTGTCCTGAGTGGTGATTTTGTTTGCGGCCACCAGCTTGTCCCCTTCTTTCACCTTATCTAAAGCTGCCTAAAGGAATTAAATGTATAATAAATGCATCAGATAAAACCAAACCAATCTACTAGACAGAGGCAAGACATCAACTTTGTTTCCCATCTTGTGTTGCATTTACCAGCTACTTATAAAATATGCATAAACATGCAGAACTCAAATCAAACTGGGCATGCTATTCATAAAATTAAAATTAGTTAAGTTTCCTGGAACAAACTGGGTACAGTTGCTAATGAGCTGACTTCCAGTAGGGCGCTTTTCCCAGAACCCTCAGAGTAGCTTGTTTGCAGAATTTCCATAGAACTTTCTAAGAACTAGCCAGCTTCCTTCTCTTAATTTCATGCAAAACTAAAAAGTAAAATTCAATAATGGCTCCAAAAAAGAGTGATTTCCAAAATTTCTTTTACCTGAAAATATGATTCCGTTTTTAGACTCTGCAATTTTTGCAACACCTTCAATAAACCTTCCTCAGAATGAAAATATAAAGCTCAGCTGTGAAATAGCACAATATTTATTATCTATGCTGTGACTCCAATTGCACAGGCTGTGAAGCTTTACCTCTTGGTCACCTGATTTTGGAAGAAGTTGGGTTTTTCATAGATCTTTGCTCACGCTGCTTAAGATTAGTAAAAAGAGATTTTAGCCCCTTTCTCATCCACTGCTTTTGAAGAGCTCAACACACAACAGTAGTTGGGTTAAAAATGAAACATTCAAGGTAATTACTCAAATTATTCTAGTTTATTTCAGACATTTTCAATCTAATTTCATTCCATCCTGATCACAACTTTAGTCTTACAGTCAGACACTCCCAGTGTTAGCAGGCAGGTTTTTCTGCTTGTATACCAGCCAACATTTGTATTCACAACTGGGAAAATGGCGGAGGCTAACTTTGGTGATCCAACAAATGCGAGATTTCGCCTGAACAGTGAGGTTTACAGTGAAAAAGATCCACATTGGATGCTCCAAATATCTCCAAAATGTAGTCTGTGTGAAGAAAAACTCCCAGAGAGCAGCTGAAACATTAGATTTAAGCTGTAAAATGCTCAGGAAGAAGGGAGGGCTGTGCATGTAGCTGATAGAAAAATAATAATAGGAGGCGTTCAATCAATAGTTATTGATTAGTGTTTCATTTATATACCTCTTAAATAAGGACCGGGGGAAAACCGCTGACTTTAAGCAGTAACCCTAAACCTATCTAAACCTTTAACCTTTCAAAATAGGTCAGGCCTACTAAAAACTTAGCTTAGTTTGGCTGTGAAAGTTTAAATTGCTACAATCCCAATAATACCACCTGGTTCTTGAGCTCTGGATTATAATTATCAAACATGTTATCAGACAAATTCTATATCAATATGATTAAGTATCTATCAGGATATATCTATTTGTTGCCCAGCATTGGTGGTCCTACAGAACCTCCTGATGACAAAAGATATCTGCTGCTGTCAAAGAGGAAAGAATATTAGGGGTGAGTATTGGCATGTTGCGATACGCGTTAACAATACTTGGGTCACAATATGATATTGCAAAATCACTGTATATTGTGATATTTGTTTCAAAATTAAATTTATAGATAAAAAGCAAGTACTGTATATGTTCATGAGAAGGTATTGATCATCAAGTTATTTTGGTATCCATGTTGTTTGGGGTTTGAGCCAGTCCACATCTTTCACTTTGACTAGATATAGCGCTCAGTCATTGTTAAGGTAAATTCTTTTTTATTTTTATTTTTTTGAATCAATATTAGGAACTGAAAGATCAATATATCGGGCAGTCGAAATTCACAATATATCGCCAAATTGATTTTTTCCCCACGCCCCTAATGAATACTGCAGGACTTGGGATATCTTTGGTGAGAGCTAGATGTAAAACAATTAATACTAATGCAGAACCTGCGGTATTAACTTCTAGTGTTCCTCAGTCTCAAATGATGCTGAATAATGTCATAATCAATGGCAATTGTTATGAGAGAAAGTAACTACAGATAAGAATGTACACTTTTTTTCCTTCAGAAATAATATTCTAAATTCTCTCATTTTATAGCTACCCTAATCCAATGTTTCTGGTTCTGGGAGCTGCCTTAGTTGTATTTTTGTTTAAAAACAACCAGCAATAACAAAAAAGGATGCTACTTTTGTTGTGGTAAAGGAAAGATTTACCTTGTGAACTCCAATGGTATCCGGGAAGCATCCAAGTATGCCCTTATATTCATTGTTGGTCTCCATGAGGAAGTGAAGATCTTTCTTGGGCTGAAAGAAAAATAATAAGAAAAACATAAATGTAAGAAGTAAAATACTTTCCTACATCTCTGTGATAGAAGGAAAAACGTACTGAACGCTGACTCTGGAGGCGAAAGAAACAAGGAAAGATTATGATAAGAGATCATATAGGGAAAGTCTCTCAGATAACAAACGCACGGATTCAGAATGACATTCGGCTGACTGAGAAATTATGGTCTGCAAAACAAATAAAGCAGATATCCAAAAGGATGATCTGGTTGTACAGTAAAGGTAGCTGTGGCGACTGCATTTCTCAGTAACGTCTGACCATGTGAGGGATACGCTTTATCAATATCACCATTTTAGATCCAAGTAAGGCTATTAAAAATGTCACTAATCTACAGCCAGCATCTCTACAGGAGCATTGGCTGGAGCAAAACAAGCTTACCAAATGAATTCCTCCTCTGAAAGCTGCTGGGACATCAAACAAAGCCAAGAATTTACTTAATTACACAGAACATCACACAGGCTACAAAAACCCAACCAGTTTTTATTTCCTGCCTTTATATGCATCTGGGTTTGTTTGTTTTTTTCAAATCTGATGAGATGTAAAAAAAAATGTATGCAGAAAATGTTTAACATAATTTGAACTGAGATGGGTGATAACAAGGCCTACGAGCAATTTTTGACATGTATTAACCACTGGAAGTTTTCCACTTCCTTGTTCATGTAAAGACCTAACCAAAAAACACAGGTATAATCCAAACATAATGGAAGATGTAAGTAAAATGTAAATAGATAATGGGAACTAGAACCGAAAACTGACGTCTGCAACACTGTTCTGACACTTATAGAAGCTGCTGTGGTTTACACTGAAACTCTGCCAGCTGCAAAGTGAAGAAGTCTCCATATTAAGGTGACCTACTTTGTGAATAGAAACTAAGAGCTGCTAAAAGGCTTTACCTGTTCTGCCACCAACTGGGCTATCTCCTCGTACGTCTTCCCCGCCGTTGTCAAGGCATCGGTTAAAGTCGACTCACCTGCAACAGAGGAGAATTAAAACATTTCTTCCAAAGTCATCTGATTCTTTCATTACAGTTTCCGGGCTAGAAAAATGAATCTGAAACTTGCAGCAGGAGATACTGGCAAGCATCTGTGGGAAAAATTAGTATGCTGCCACAGTATGAGAGAATACCTTGGTATCCACTGCTGGTGAAGACGGAGGACAGGTTCTGTATGGCTTTTCCTATTCTCTGGTATTCTTTTGGCAGAGCTGCAGCAGATAAGAGGAAACACTCAGGACTAAAATATTTTTATGTAAGCAATCATTTCAAGAGTGAAGGTGTGGCTTGTAAACACTAATTAAAGTTTAGAGCTCTGGGAACCTACGTCCTGTGCATCTCTTCCAGTGCTCTTGTCCTACAGTGAGGATTTCCTTCACGCTGTCGTCCATTGCTTTGGTAAACTTACTGAACTGCTCACATTTCTGCTCCCTGGTAAAAGAGAAACACGTGTGGCAGGGGTAACTAAACGCACAGCAGCGACTGCTTTGAAGTTTTCCCCGTTTTGCACGGTAGGGTGTTTAACTCACACTTCTACAGGATCCAGATCCGGGGCTTCAGGCTCGATGGTGGAGAAGATCATCACTCCGACTGTCTCATCTTTCTCTGCTTTTCTCTTACCCATCTTCCAGTCCTGTCACAAACAAACACTGCAGTTTTTTTTTTTTTCATATTTCAACTACACTGCAGTGTATTTTACTGGGTTCATTTGTTGTGCAAAACTGCAAAAGATTCACGATACACAATTTTTGATATTTCAAAGCAAATTTTTTAAAAACCTGAAAATTGTGGCATGCTTTTAAATTCCATCCTCGGTGGGATACACCAGTATAAACCCAGTGTAACCAACTGCCTTTAGATTTAATCAAATTTGTACATTTAGGTAATTTGACCTCAACAATGTAATAATGCAGCCAAGGTCTTGGATATTTGTCAGACATTAGCAAACAATCAGCACATGGCAACATGGCAGGAAAGTAAAAGAGAAAGTCCTAGAGAATCCTAAAGCAGGGTAAGGCTCATGAAACAATATGGGTGGAGCTAAGCGAGGTGCAATCCTTCCAGCACAACAGTAACTAGGGCTGCAACAACGAATCGATAAAATCGATAAAAATCGACTTTTAAAAGCGTTGGCAACGAATTTAATCATCGATTAGTTGTGTCGCGCGATTAATGCGTCATCCGCCGCCGCCGTCATCCCGGGGAAGAAAAAAAAATATGGCGGAGCGAGTCAGCGCCGCAGTTGCAGTGTTGCCAACTCAGCGACTTTTCAGACCCCTCCAACGACTATTTTTTTTAAAAGCGACTAGCGACAAATCTGGCGACTTTTTACGGTGTCACTGGCGGCTTTTGGAGACTCTTACGTGAAAGCATGTATCGTTCCTACTCTTGTCCTCCAGCGGCAGCTGCTGCCGTGGGGCGCCTCCCCCATCCCAACGCCTTTCTCCCTCTTCCACAGGAAAGCCTCTCAGCGCTGCAGTCCGAGCCGCAGGATTTTAGTGAGGAGTTTACCCTCAGCGTCCAGACTGCAAATGAAGCGCGCATGCCCCGGGATTGACGGCGCAAATTGATCACAATAATTAAAATAGCCTGCGCTTTGTAAAGTGAAAAAAGTCGTAACATGCAACTTTTGTAAAAACAAATGAACATGGCACGGAAGCACCACTGTTATGACGCAGTTCCTGAAAAGAAAACATGTTGGAGCCTTCAATGGCAGTGAAGAGAGCTGATCAGCAGGATGAGTAACCATGTTTGTTTCATTTTAAAGTGGGGAAACGTAAGTTAGTTTCTCAGGTAGCTCATCTGATGCTTTCCTTACCGTGTTAGTAGGTTACAGACAGTGATAAGGTTGGCTGCTTATTTTACTTTTAATTTCATTTGAATTAGCTTAAGCAGCGTTTATATTTTCTTTATAAATAAATTAATTTGCAAATTATGAGGGCAAGGCTTTTAAAGTTTAAATCTTCTGGCAAAGATAAAGTAAAGAAGATCCTGCAATTTATGGAAGTATAGCAGAATAAAATCCAGCAAGATCAGTAATATGTCAATTAATTATCTGCCACATTCCCATGTAAATATCTGTCTTTGGAGGATGTGTTTTTTATCACCCTTAGTTCTCTCATTTTTCTTCCAAATACAATTTATAATTTGAATCACAGGGCTATTTTTATCTCTATGGTTCAGTATTTTCTCAAGTAGCAACTTTAACTGCTATACTTTCCTGTCTTGAAAGGCAGAACTCTTCTAGTCTAAAAAAACTCATTTGTTGAAATGGGGGGACCTATTGTTTGAACCCCTTAGGGGCGTTTAAAAACAAAAATGCCTGTCTCTTTTTGCGCTTTATGAAACAAAGTAGCCTATATTTTGTGGATGTACAGCTACATTTCTCATGTAAGTTTGCGTAGTTTTAAAACAAACATTTATTTTTCATATTGCACCAGTACAGTTAATGAGAAACCTGTACTTGTGGGCTTGTTTGTTCTGTCTAAAATGTTTATTTTGGAATAAAGAGGTTAATATAAAAAAAATATTTTGTGTCCGATTCATCGATTAATCGAAAAAATAATCGGCCGATTCATCGATTTTCAAAATAATCGTTAGTTGCAGCCCTAACAGTAACCCTTAAACATATAGGCAGTGCTGCAACTGAACGGTTTCTAACAAAAAAAAAATCAACATTGTAGCAACACTCTATCCAATCCAATGGAGTTTTAGCTACTTTCTAGAAACGAAAGAGGAAACCATCGACATACTGTTGCAGCTGTAATTTCCTACCACACTTTACGGATTTCCGTTTGTAAAACTTTTAAAAACTATGAATAATGCTTTTAATAAACCACAAAGTTGCCACCTTGTGTAAAATTGTGTTCATGATTGTAGGTAGATCAAAGGGATATTATAAATGCTTCACTCTGGACCTCAATCAAATAATAAAATGAACATAAAAACAAAACGTTTATGGCTAACACTTAGTTTCCTCAATAAAATACAGTGAGTTTAAAAAGCTTAACTTTGCTCCTTCGCCATACATGTTGCTTAAAAACAAAATTGCAATCGTACCTTTTCATCTTTGTATGTGAGGAAAAGTTGAAACACCTCGCTGTTAGAAACAACAGGGTGTCGGCACATCCTGGACATCCAACCCTGCAACCGCTCCATGCGCATTTTAATAAACTCCTCCTCAAAGCGGCCTTTACAACATAATTAGATGTGTTTTTTTCCACATTAAAAACATTGCAACATACCACTTTTAATCATATCTAGCTGCTGTAATAATTAGCTCACCTGTAACCTGCTTGTCTGGCAAAGACGGGATGGGAATGGCTGACCCAAATTTATCCAGGAGTCTCTCATAAAGCCAGTCAAAGTGCTTGTACCTATGATTGACTGGGCGGTTTGTTGTCTGCAAACAAATAAAACATTAAGGAAAAAAAAACACCTGTTGAAGACAATAAATGCATTATTTTCTAATGCTTACATATCATGAGGCTCTAGTTTATTATACAGTCAGGGGAAGAATGTGCAAACTTACATTGGGTGTGATTTGGTACTCTATGTAGCTCTTCAGGCCATACATCTTGGACCCTTTCTTGGGATCAGCTACTAAGCAGTCTAACTGGGACTCTGGGTAGGACCACACCGGACCGACCTCACCCACCTGTGCATGAAACACATTAACCTTTAAAATAGATGCCGTCATAGTGATGCTGAGTGTAGTTTACATCTAAGAACACAGCATTTGATTAGAAATTAATCTGCTGATGCGTATGGAAGATAATAAGCTAGTGCCTCTGTGGGTTTGTTAAATCATACATGGTTGGTGTATTTTGTAAAATGTGAGAAAAAGCAAGAGTGGTGTGCACAATCTATTACACGGGCTGTATTTCTGACCATTACATCCTTTTTATGCATATTTTCCAGCTCCAAGCTGTATAGCTTAACATGTTTTGGATATAAGCAAATCAGCAGATGCGTGTTTGTGTAATGAGGGAAAAAGATCAACCACCTATATCAGGATGTGCATAATTATTAGGCATAGCTTACTTTCCCTCAGGCAAAAAAAAAGTATTTAAGAAAAGTATTCATGTTACTCTGAAATGTCAATCATTTAAAAAAGACATTAGGAGGGAGGCTGCACGTTTGAAACTGCCAAGATATCAGGGCATGTGCTGAAAATAGTCAACAGGGGTACAGGAAATGTCTTGAGAGAGAGAAAAAAAAAAAAAAGACGTTCTTATATTCTAGAACTGCAACTTTTAGAAGTCATGCCTGAGCCAAGAAATATCTGAGTTTTATGGACTGATGAGATCCCAAGCACAGTGCTAGTTTTCAAAAGACACTTTTTCCAATCGGTGATACGTGGAAAAAGTCTTCCGACCGTGGTTTTAATGCAGGATTATCAGAGATGTCAAGTAACTAAGTACAAATACTTTGTTACTGTACTTAAGTACACTTTTTAGGTATCTATACTTTACTCCATTACTTATTTTTCTTCCTACTTCTAACTTCTACTCATTCCATTTTCACACAAATATCTGTACCTTCTATTCCTACTGTACATTTAAAAAAAAAAATGTTACTCATTACTCTTGGCTTTGGTTTAATGTTTATAAATATTTATTTCACGTCATGTGCGCCATCCAATCAGATCATTGGCTCCATCCACATCTAGAAAAACTAGTGTAATTGGATGAGTCATATAATGCAAACACTCATTGGTTAGCTAAAGGAAATCATCAGAAGCAAGCAGGTGTTCTTCAAACTGCAAACGTGAATTGTCTATGCCATGCTACAATATTGGATTCAGAAAAAGATGTTAAAATGTCTGAAAGGTCGGATGCAGGCGAGAGCGTGTCGGGAGACGGAGACCAACAAGACCTCCCTCATCCTTGGCCCTATCTCAAAGAATTTCTCGAAATAGTGAAAAAATTGAGCTTTCAATTCATATAGTGGCATTTGGCTGTTTTTTTTTTTTTTTTTTTTTAAAGGTTACTTTATACTTTTACACTTTAAGTAGTTTTTGGAGCACATACTTTTTCACTTTTACTTGAGTAAGATTTATATCAGAGTGTTTTTAAACTGCCGTTTTTAAAGTGTGTGCTTTTGACACCACTGAGGATGATGCTCCATCACATACATGCAAAGTACTCCACTGTGGGGCCAGCCAGTAAGATGAAAGTATAAGGACTTGGCTCCCTTCCTCACCTAAACCCTACTGAGAATATGTGGCCCTTTTAAAATGGGAAATTTGGGGTACAGAAAAACAGTCCACCTCTTTGCACAGTCTGTGAGGCTGCTAATTTTTATTCAAAAGAAATGTGGCTATATTGGTCACTGATCTTTTAATGTTTTTTTTTTGTGTGTACATTTTGAGTTTATTCTCCATTTTACAGGTGACAAGAAGTAAGTTAGATTTAACCTTTAATTTAGTTGGCGAATGGTTGCCCAATATATTGTGTACAATAAAAGTATTCCCCAAGAAAGGCACGGAATCTCCTCATCATTTTTATGCTGATGATAGTCAGATACATTTACCTATTAAAAAGAGAAATGCCTTTTCCTTTGCATACTTGCTGGCATTCCTTAATGACATCAATAGCTGGTTGTCTCCTAACTTTTTATATCCTACCAAGGAAAAAATGGAAGTGATGGTGTTTGGTCCCAGTAGCCTTTGTGAACCATCCATCCATCCATTCATTTACTGACACGCTTAATCCAGAAAAGGGTTGCGAGGGGTGCTGGTGCCTATCTCCAGCAGTCAATGGGCGAGAGGCGGTGTACACCCTGGACAGGTCGCCAGACCATCGCAGGACTTTGTGAACCCACGTTTCAAATTCGGGTTTTAGGATGGACAGTGATTTTAAATTGGATCAGCATCAGCTCTGTAGTAAAGTCCAACTTTTATCACATCAGACATTTGACCAAGGTCAAATATTTTCTTGCACAGCAGCATTTATTAACAGTAACCCATGCCTTAGTTACAACTAACACAGCATGAGACTCTCCGTTTTTGTTTTAATTGCTTTTTATGTGGTTTATTTGTTTTCATTTTATCAACATATTTGTTTTACTCTTTAATGTTGTATTCATTCTTTCTTTTAGCTTTTCTTGGTATTTACAGCACTTAGTGGCAGCTGCAGTTGTATAAAAGGGAGTTGAAAACGAATTGTGAACCCAGTGTGAGTAAAGACCACCTACATATATCGACAGCTTGTCTTTCCCTTTTGCAATCTGTTTGCAAAGAAGGTAGAGCTCCGGACCAGACTTGGAGAATCCTGGAAATCTGTTCAACAAAAAGGAAACAAAATTCTTCTGATTAGATCCACCTGCTAAATACTTATTAGCATTCATCTGTAAACTGAATTATTTAAATAATTTTAAAGCCTGATGTTCTAATATTGATTTGGTAACACTCACTTATTGAGGGATATTTTCATTGAAGAAGCGTGCATTCCTCCTCTTTGTATTCCAAGACCATCCCCAGATTCTGATTCGGTGTAGCCAGTTGACTTTTCATCCCATTCATCATCCCACTCATCAAACTCTGCCCCTTAGAAAGATAAGGAGGATTAAAAGAAGACAAGGTTGCATTTATGCAGGTCTCTATGCATCTTGGGCACTGCAAACTAATGGTGCTTGAAATATATTAGCAAAGACTTATTCCTCTGCAAATATTCCCAACCAGGCGAGCCCCTTTTGAGCCCCGCTCTCTGGTTTAAAGGTCAGATTATCTGAATATATTTTAGGGCTTTCAAACGAAGGGAAGAAAAAGGGAACCAGGGAATAAAAAAAAAAACTGAGAAAAAAGGAATCTGACTGAAGTGAGTAAGGAGTTATGAAAGAAAGAGAGAATAAAATGTCAAATTATGTTTGGAAATGCAAAGAAATGTTTTTTTTTTTTTTTACCATTCTCTAATTTCCTCCTAACTAACTTAACCACTCCTGAAATAAATCAGCCTAATCCAACTAAATGCATGGACGTTAAAATATGAGCTCTCCCCTAAAGAAGCTCAGTATCAAACAGTGAGAGGACACTTTATCTTTCAGCTCACAATGCTAAAGTAAATAAAAGTAAATCTGAGGTTTAATTTCCAAAGATAAACAAAAATCATTGAGTCTGAAAGCATTTCTCCCTTAGACTCTTGACATGCAGTAGTATTTATATCAACTATCAAACCTGTAGTCATGCGTAGTAAAACATTTTATCACCTCATACAAGCAGGTTGATATTTCACACCAATTTCACTTTTTTTTTTATTTTTTACTTTATGTTAATCTGTTTATGAGGCACGTTTTCTTTCATATATTAATCAGATATGAAACAATGCGTACTAATGACTGATACTAAGAGCTGGTTAACTTATGCAAACAAGCTATAGGATAAAAGGGTTTCGAGCTTTAATCCTTCAGTTCCTCAGTAATCTGTTAGAAAAAAAACATGCAGTAGAAGAACAGACATCAAAATTCCTCCAAAATACCAGAAGGAAACCACAACCAGCACTCTACAATAACACAGCTGTTACTCTGGTGTCAGTATGGAGCTTCAAACACGTGCTTTTGAATAATGTGATTGTTTTTATCAGTACTTGCAAACCAAAATAAGAACACATCCATGAAGCCAAAACCGATACCTGTGTAATCAATAAGGTAAGGATATGGGTAGATGTCTTTGGCTGGCAGAAAGAAAGGAGGAAAGGCTGTTAATGTGTCTCCTAGAAGCTCATTTCCTCTGCTATATATTTAAAAAAAAAGTATCTGGAGAATTTAAAATCCAGGTGGAGTCATTTTGTCCCTGTGAGTCATTAGTGAGGCCAACTTTTCCATAGTCTGGCAAAAACAGTGTTATGACTCAACAGGCTGCAGAAACACAGGAGAGTTTCACAAGAATCTAACTGAGGGGACAGCATCCAAGAGTTAGAGTCCTCCTGCACAGGCCTGCATGACATCTCCTGAACAGACACAATAAGTGGAATAAAAACACAAATGGCCTTTATTGATCCACAGTGGGGATATTTACATGTCCCAGTAGCAAGTCGATTATAAACAAAGCATACACATATACATTGAAGTAAAAAAACACCCCAAGAATAAAAGAGTGTGCAGTGAAAGTACATCTGCAACAGGAGAAGAAATGTCTTAGCAGCTTTTTGTTCTGAAATAGCACAATAAAAAAAAACAAAGAGTTGTGCAACTAAAGAGAGCATAATGATTTATTTATACAAGACTATAAGAATCAACAAGACACTGAAAAAGCAGCAGACATGTAAACATAGAGCACAATCAATATAGATAGAAGATATATATTAGTTGGAAGAATGGTAGAAAAGTCCTTTAGAAGATTAATTAATTTATCATGCAGCAGGGATCATGAAGAAATGGGGACAATATAAGAAGGTCGCAAAGAGGCTGAAGGCATCACTGAGGGAACTGCAGGTATTTCTGGAACAATATATTACTTTATTTTACTGTATTTGTTTTTTTTCAACACTTATTATCTAAGGCAAAACCCTCACAATTGAAAGCTATATGTATATATATTAAAAAAAACATGAAGAGGGTTGTTTCTTTCCTTTTTTTTTTTTTCTTTTGAATTACAGAATATCAAAGAAAGGCCTATAAAATCAATCAAGGATAATTTTACCAGAAGGAATAAAAAAATAGACTAGAACCAAATCTGACAGAAAATCTTTCCAAAACCCAAATAAGTTTGTGGAAAAGATGTTAAAAAAAAAAAAAAAAAAGATTTTGAAACATTTTAAAAGGTTGAGTGACAGGATATTGCCAAACAAACAGGAAGGGAGGCAGACTAAAGGCTCACACCTAATCAATAGGTGCTTCAACTAAGTATGTGTGCTCATTTATCCAACTTGGATATTGCAGATATAATTTTCCTTCATAGATACTCGCGCGTCATTATACAGGAGTCATGCAGAATTAAAGGTAATAGCTTAGCTTATTTATCACCTATTTATTGTTTCATTTATCACATCATTTATGCACAAAGAGCCGTATTGGACCAAAAAAAACAAAAAACAAATCTGTCTGGAGCCACAAAAAGTAAAAGTCTTATATAAGCCTCATATGGCAACACAGGCTTTAAGCTTATTAGCCAACTATAAAAAAGGACTAGGTGGGCTTAAATATATATTAAGCATTAATGATTAGATGTTTATCCTGGAGCAAATGTCACATAGTAGCATGAGGGGTGAGGGCGGAGCGGTGAACGCTCTCAACACGTGGAATTCACCGTGCGGTTTAGGTTTTGTTGCACTGATCTACTCCTTAAATCTGCGCTCCTCAAATGTATCCAGAAGTTCTGCAATCACACTGTTTCCTCTCACTCGGCTACATATTTAGTTAGCCTTCCCTAGAGATGCCAAATGACTCTTTTTATTTTTAGCAGGCAATCCTTCTGCATTGTTAATGAAAGTAAATGATTCACTCCATTTTTCTTTGAATCCTCTGTTCTTATCAGTTATCTTCCCTTTTTTCCCCTATGGGATCAATGGCCTGGGACACACCTGCCACTTTGCCTGCCTGGCACTGTGCCACCGCTGAAACGTCTATTGCAGGCTATGACTGCTTTAAATTTATCTATTATATACATTTTTACAACATATGAAAACAAGCAAAAATCAATTTTCATAAATAAAAAAATAAAAAATCCAGGGAGCTGCAAAGGGGGCACTAAAGACCTGCGGGTTGCCGACTCCTGGTCTATAAGATGTATGCGCACTATGAAGAGCAGAGTTCTCTATTGTGAAGAAAACGAGCATTAAACCAAAAGAAATATGTGATTCAAACATCTGAGCTTCAGATTGGGAGACAGATTTACCAAAAAAAAAGCTACCTTTAAAGCTGCGAGATGGGATCTGACACTGTTCTGATAAACAAATGCAGGAGCTTTTTGATTTCAAAGGCGCTCTACCAGATGTTGCAAAAAATGTAAGATTACCTCCACATGCAAGAATAAAGAGCTTGTAATTTATCACAGAGAGGAAAAAAAAGGTTTTATTCTCAGAAACCTATATAAACCTGAAGGTTATCAGCTGCTAAGGGGTTTATAATCTGCTCCTGGCTCAGGTCAGGAAAGAAGTTTTATTGGATTCACTTCACTAAATAAGCACCTTTAGTCACATGAACGTCACAAGACTGCATTCTTCTACTTAACTGAATTTAGATGCTTTGTTAATAGTTTAAAGCACATTCAGGTGGGCAGTTATCTGGGATCCACATGAAGAAAATAAAGGCACCTATGGGTCAGATCTTAACTGATTTTATAACAAGAAGAATAAGATACAGTAGGATAATAGAAAACTTGGATGAGGGAAAAAAAATGCTTCATTTCTCGTAAGGGGAGTGAATCATTTTAAATTGTTCAAAACAAATGAGTCATGTTACAAAAATTGTAATTAATCAATGTTCAAAGAAGATATTTAAATCTAAGTGTAACATGAGGATCCAGCAGAAGCTTCATATTACAAATCCAATGGATTATAAAAATTAGACATTATTCTGAAAAGCTGTAATACAGTTTTACTTCTTTCTTTAAAAGGCAATGTTGGACACCTGTTTAAGCCAACACCAAAGCCACACTGCTTTCCTGGATGAAATTATGAGAAATGTTTAGGAATTCATCCAAGATATGTGGAACTGAACAAGTCTGGTCCATAAATGCCCACTGCAGGTTTTATATTCATACTTTTCTAACAACTGTATGTAATTATGAATACCATGGTGATGTCCAAACAATATTTAGGGGCAATATTAGGTCACCATCTCTGTTTCCCAGACACAAATACGATTTGGTGCAAAATGTTCACATCAACCCTTGATGGAAAGCAATAGGCATTTTCCTCTGCAATATCCCTAAGGCATGTAGGGGCAAAGGCCCTGATTTCTGCTCTAATATCCTTTGTTCTAATGAATCTGAATAAAACTAAATAATGTCATTTGTTACTTATGGTGGAACCAACCCAGCAGTGAAATATGGAGGGCAAGATTTTACCGTCTGATGACTTTCCAAACTCAAGAAACCCCACGTATGACGATAATTTAGTGCTAGAACTGTTTTGGTCGTATAGTCTGTTGTTGCGTGCCACACAACAAGCAGAGCACACCCAACCACACAAGAGCCGATTCAGATGCTTGATGCGCATTGAGCAAAGAGTGTCACTATCTGATCTGTACCCGAAGCACTATCTGAAGCATCAGCTAATTGTGCAACCAGAAATTGATTAAGGTTTCCATTAAATTATGTAATGAGGGTACTAAAAGTACTTACTTCTATCCATAATAGTGTTGCACCGATGCCATTTTTTGGTCCCGATACCTATACCCGATACCTGGCTGTACAGTATTGGCCGATACCATCTGCTTGAAATTGATGTGTGTGTGTGTGTGTGTGTGTGTGTATATATGAAGATTTGCATACTACTTGGATGTAAAATAATTGCCCTCATGGCTTTGTCAAGCTGCTGCCTTTCTTTGTGAAGCAGGAAAAAGACTAATACAAAGTGAATCCAGTAGAACTTTTAATTGCCTACCTGGAATGGGTGACAATAGTTGAATAAACTTTTGGCTCTAAAAATGATATTGGTGCCCTATTTAGAAGTGTCCTGTAAAATGCGCTCACAAATTCAGGGAAATTCTGAAAAGAAAAACATCCACTGTCTTTTCCTGTAAAACTGAAAAGAGTAACAACCTTAATCCTGTTTTTATTCTTGTTCAATTTTCATGTTTTTTTTTGCTGACAGCTCTATAAGGCAGTGACTGTCTCCCAACCAGCTAGAGTAAACGGTTCCCTGATTGGTAGATGTGCCATGTCTACCTGAAAAAGTTCAGATTTTCACACTTTAATGAACACGCTTGATTCAGGGAACACCAGGCGCGACAGGATACCAATCCAAGACAATCCAACATGTCGGATGTCTCCAATTTGTGGTCGGAGGGGGTTCCAACATTCTACCAAGAAAACCTGAACACTTAACACACCAGAAAGGGAAGGTCAGGGCAGAAGTGGTCACGGTTATCTCCACATGTGACAGACACCCCTCCGCCATGCAAAAGTGAGAGATGCATTTCTCAAAATAGATGGCTTCATGAGGAAAACGCTTTATGGTAAAATGCTGAAGCACAATTTCAAGCATCAGGCAGGGAGCTAAATATTCAGCACAAGTATCTCTTCCAAAATAAAATAAGATAAAAAGTAGCTTAGGGGGAACAAAGAGTGTTTTGCACTGAGCCATGATTAAAAAATGATCGTGCAAAGCTGAAGAAGTGGATCAGTTAAACCATTTATCCATTTATCACATCTAGCAGACTGCAGCACGAAGCTCCTGGAATGACAGCTGTATCACTATGTATGCAATCTTCACAATTTAAGGTATTTTGGTGCCTTTAACTAAACTAAACAAGATGCTTTTTCTAACATGCTTGAGAAATTGTACACAAAACAAGGATTCTCAACTATACTTCAGATATGATCAAATATTTAAAAGTTGCTTTCTTTCATGTAAAATCCCACATGAACTCTGAGCTGAACGTAAAGAGACGACAACAACCTGTTAAACACACGAATAAACTCTGAAATCATAATTCTAACATGAGCTAAAGCCTAGCTTTGCACAGCTGCTGCTGAAAAAACTAACTTTTTTTTTTTTTTTTTTTTTACCTGGTCCTTGGTAAGCCTGAGGGTGACCCTGTGATACAGAGCCCCAGGGGTCGGCTGCACTCTTCCCAGTCTGCGTGCCCTCTGGATTAGACGCCCAGTTGTTGTTGGAGCCTCCAGAGGGGTCTGCATTCCACGCTGACCAGGGATCGTTTCCATTGCTAGCCTGGGAGAGACACACAGAGAAGCTGTGAGGGATGAAAGAAGGACTGTGATGGTAGAGAGGCGAGAGGACAGGCTCCGTTTCATCTGGAGCTGAAGGTATTCCTAAATCAACATGCCTTTTAAAGGTGGCAGAGACCTTTCCTGTAGCGGGGAATGCATTAATAGATAAATCAGCACTGACTGCTTGGACTGAACTTGCAACTACTTTAAAGAGCAACAAATGAGATTAAATGCTGTAGATTTGCAGATAGGTTCATGCTCAGATGCCTCTACTGTCACTTAGGCTACCATGTTCTCACAGCACTTCTAAGCTCATGCTGCTTACACTTGCAGATAGAAGCATGCAACAGTGTCTGTGTGTGTGCGTTCCTTTGTGGGCTCAAATTTGCATAATGCTAACCAGACTCTCAGCTGACTGAAGACTTTTACTGTAAACTGGTGCAAACAGAAACAGTCACGTGTTCCATTTTTCAAAATGGAGCCTGTTTTAGTGTTGTTATGGGACTGCTCAAAGGGAGTCATTTTTATTAATCATTCAGAATGAAGGAATTTAACACTACCGCTACCATTTTACTTTATAAAATTTTACTTTTCAGGCAATGAAGGGCCTCAGCAAACAAAAGAAAAGCTGAATATATGAGTAAGAATTGTCTCTTTTTTTATCCTATTGATACTTTTGAGGTCTAGCAGAGATTTAAATAAATGTAGGCCGTATTTAACACACAGGATGTGAACAGAGCTGGCTGTAAAAAAAAAAAAAAAAAAAAAAGCCTTGTTCCTATTTTGTCTTTTATAATTATAGTTTTACTTTATTTTACTGTGGATCGTGGTGCAATACACAGAGAGCTATCATTCACATATGGGCATACATGGCTATAATGTTATTCTTGTAACAAAAACAAATAGCTATTGTTACTAATAATGAAATCAAAAGTTTCCCCCCAAAAAGTATCAAATAAATAAACGTGCAATAAAAAGCTCAAACTGTCTATTTTTCAAACTTGTTTTGCAATAAGCTAAAAAAGAAAAATGCAGAAAAATACTTCTGTTTCCCATCTTGAAGGACTTAGGCGATAAAAATTAGAAACAGGAAACCACAAATATTTATATATATATAATTGATATCCAAACATTGTGATTATGATTTAATGTGAGATGCATCCATATTTACTAACTCCAGTAATCCTAGTTTATAATCCCGATGCTCTTCTAACACTTCTACTGTTGTGTGGCCATTCACTGAAGGAAGACATTATCAAACATGCTGATATGTTATTGGCATGCAAAGTGGAAATGGAAAACAAATACTGGATGGCACATTTGGTATATCTATTAATAATATTCACTCTGACACATCAATAACATATGTTCTGTATTATTTTGCAGTAAATTATTTTAGTAACATTTCAATGAGAGAAACTGGGAAAGAAAATTTCAACTGTTGATTTTTTTCTTTTTTTTGCAGTAAACATCTTTCCAAAATCAGTCCGGTCTTCATTACAATAAAAAACTGGGTATTTGAACATTTCTTTGAGAGGGAGGCGGAAGATCAGAATCAGAATCAGGTGCTTATCTAATAAACAGTACTGAATCTAAATATACAGTGAAGGTGATGATTTGTTCGTCCATTTTTCAGGTCTGTAGTGCAAGTTGAAAGAAAAGGGTGAGATCATGCTTGTTTTAAACAGCAGGTAATTGTGTCAAAGCAGATCAAATAGATGACTTAGGGGTGAGAATTGTTGGAGGCAGGAGGGCTCAGAATAATGCCTCAGTCATGCTCTCAACCCCCAAGTGGCATTTACCTCCTCGGGGGACGGGAAGAGGGGGGAAACTGGGGTGTCTGGGGTTTCTGGCTCGGGACTCAAAGCCCCAGACTCCACCTTGAGGGGAATAGAAGGTGAGGTCAGTACAAAGAGCCTATGGTGCAGGTTAAAACTGAGCAGAGAGCTGGGTAAAAGTGCTGCTTAAATGTTTGGTCAAGGTGCAAAAGCTGACACATTTCCTGCCGTGCCTCTTAAACGTACTGCGCCCCAAACTTTTTCAGCAGTGTGCATCTGTTTGTGGAAGTTTCTGGCTCTTAAACACAGAAGAACCCATCGAGCCATTTCCTCTCCATTCTGCATTACTGAAGCCAAAAAAAAAAATGTGCGGCAGTTTGAAATATCTCTTGAAGCAGCTGCTCTCACTTCTGCATCTGGATCTGAATTTGGTCAGCACTCATTTCTGCTTTTTCCTTCAACATCACTTCATCCATCTGTGTCTTCAAAAAACACCCTGTGAATTATTATGTTTTTTTTTTGTGCAGTTTTTTACGTTACATTCAAATATTTGAAAGTATTTTATTGGACAGACCAACACAAAACAATAAATAATTGTGAATCTCTGTCAAAGGGGAAAAACAGGAATATCTTGTCAGTTGTTGGAGGGACAAGATAAAGCTAAATACGTCAGAATCCTGTTCAAGTCAGAGCTAGCATGATAAGGTTCAGATCAAAGCATATTATTGCAACTGAGTCACCAGACAGGGCTAGAAATATTCTGATACAGAAAGATTCAGCTTGTAGAGACGTAATCCCTAAAACTAATAGACACTGGTTCAGGGGGGCTAAATAACGTATAACCTTGAAAAGTTCAAAAGAAAGAAATACTTCTGCATACTTGAGTTGCAAAAAAAGAAAAAACAGAGGAGTATTCAGATCTGAACCAGAATCTTGGCAGCTTGGCACATTACCTGGTTTTGTGCAGGTGCTGATGCAGGTGAAAACGCATCAAAGACAGAAAGGTCCGGATATGCGACGTTTCCTGCGTTTGAAGGCGGTGCTGTGGTTGCTGCTGCTGGAAATGCGGGAAATTCCTTATTGAACTAGAAATAAAGGGGGATAAAAAACAACACAAAGCAAAGTCACAATAGTTAAAAAAAACTACAGAAAAATTAGTTATTTCACTACATCATCAAGTTCCTCTACGGTAACCTGATCATCTTCTTAGCTCTCACTCCTAGATTTTACCACAGTGCAGTACTTGTCTGTTTTATTTCTTTCTCAAGAGATTTCATCATAACACTAAAACGGCTTCTTTGGAAACAGACGGCTTGTGTTTAATCAACAGCCAAAACATGAATTTCAAGTTTGATTCTCATCTGTAAGTTTTTAAGAGGTGGGCATTAGATCAGAAGAGCCCTGGAGCAGCTGGGGGGGTAACTCAAGGTCAGACCAACTTTTTTTTAACAAAGAATAGCGAGTCTATGAATCTCTAACATACACAGGCTGTACTGCAGAGAGTTCTTAAACACAGGAGGCTAAGCAGCTACAACAGCAGAATTTACTTTAATTTAGAGTCTGACTGTCTTTAGAGTGAATCATATCTACACTGGAGTCAGAGTTACCGGATGAAGCTGGACCCACACACTGAAACATTTTAAAAAACACACTAATCAGCAGATCCTAAAGGAGGCACATCCTGTTGTGATTTCAATGTCAGGCGAAGCGACAGCACCGAAGTAAGCAAACTCATCCTGGTCTCTGATATGAAGGCAATCTATTCACACTGACCTTAAAACAGCATAGATCTGCCTTTGTTTTAAATATGTTGGTCATATATTCATATTAAATATTAAAAAAAAAACACTCTGTTATTTGCAATTTCTGGCTTACCTCAATGTAATCTTCAGGCACCAGTCCGACCTCCCCTCTTGAGTTCTGTGCTTCAATCCAACCGCCTCCAATATGCTTAGGAAGAGAGTCAGCAGGACATTAGTACAAACAAGCAAAGAACCTTTAAAGGAAGATAAATGGAGAGTAAAGGCTCTAAACCACCCAGGTTTGCACATGGAGTTAATTTTCTAACCAGGAAACAAACTTTCTCTCCTACATTGGCAGAGTGCTGAATGTTTCTGCTTTTGGTCATTTTACAACAAAAAACTACAACATATTTTACTTGTAACTTTGTGTAATTTACTACCTCAAAGTAACGTTTAATGTCACAGTTAAATAAAGAATAAAAATGGCTTCTTTTTTTCTTCTTTTTTTTTAAAGCCTGATACTTTTAAATCTATCAATTTTCCATTCTATATTCCCAAGAGTACAGATCAACAAAGAAAATCCTAAAGATAAACTAGACAGGTCAGGGAAAAATCTGGATTAGGAAACAAAAAAAGTTATTTCACCCTGGGATTATTTAAATATTTTTGATTCTGATTCCTGGTTGATGGGACAGGTGTTGTGAATAAAACGGTGCCCAGCTTGAAGGAGCTCCTGTGTGTCTCTGAATGTGAGCATTGATGACTGAAAGACATCTTCTGCCTCCATTTATCTGTTTACTACAGTTTGTTGAATTAATGTTAATGTTTATTTAAAGAAAAAAAATCGAGGGGGGGTATATTAAAAAAAAAGAAAAAAAAAAGTAATCAACCAAAACTTTTCGCGACCCCCATGTAGTACCTCCGTGGACCCCCTAGGGGTTGCAGACCCCCTGTTAAAGACCTCCGGTATAAACACTCCTTTCAGATTAAGAACTGTAATTAAAGCAAAAGGTGCTTCAAAAATGTATGGCTGAAAAAACAAACAACGAACTTCAATAGTCCATTAACTCAAATATATTTAAAGTTTGTGGTTGTAAGGTAAAAAAATAAAACACAAGCTCTAGATGTCCAAGGTCTATAAGATTAAGTGCTAGAAGGGAAGCGCCGCTACAGCCTGTTTATTTAGCAGTAGGGAAAAAAAACACCCAAGTCTTCCTGATTCAGTTCTCCTAAACTTGGATTAGTAAACTATGTAGGTCACCACAGAGTAAATGATCTTTGAACTGTTGGCAAACACACACAAATGACATCATATTTGTTCTGTTATTTGTTCCTCTCTGGTCCTTTCTTTTTTTTTTCCTTCTGTGTGTAATTTATTAGGAACGCCACTTAAACACAGACAACATCAGATCATGTGATTTTGGTCTATACAGCTGAGTCAGTTTTCAACACTAAAACCAGAGTGTGCTTCTTACAGGCGTGCAGATATGCTTTTCACTAAATAACCCAAAGCATAACTTCTTCCTATGTGTAAAATCTTATAAACCTGAGCAGAACTTTAACACTCGAATCTGTCAAGGCTTTTAATAGGGCTATTTTATAGACTATTCTAAGCAGATAATGTCCGTATTCCTTTTTACCTGATTAGTGATTGTGATCGTCTCGCCTTCTTTCACTGTCAGCTCATTGTTTCCAGGCTCAGCGGTGAAGTCATATAAAACTTGTGCCTTAAAACAAACAAGAGAATAACCAATGCTGTTTAACATCAATGTGTGTTCAGGACATTCAATGACCCCTATGGCAGGCTGGCAGTTTTGAAGGAAAATAGTGGTAAATAAAAACAGGCCTAACTAGTTTTTTCAGCCTAGTGGTGTCTCTGATTATTACCTAATTTCATGGTTTATCCAAACAAGGTCAAGAACCTTCATCATTATTAGCATACTTGTTAATAAGACCTAAAAAAAAAAAGCTTCCGTTTACATTTTGATTAGGATCGATTTAGTTTTATTACTCATTCTTTTCAACATTAGACCTTTCATCAATATGAAGGCAAAAAAAAAAAAAATCTACAAATTATAAGCCTATGACGGTAAATTAAAATGTGCTCTTTTAAAGAGGAATATTCAAAACACATATTTAATGTACAAAACTAAAACTTTAGGCCTGTTACTAATGATGAGTATCTGCCCACATCAAAAGAGAGAAGCCAGGTTGCTTTGTGAATCGATCAGTTTGTCCAATGGGTGCCTCCTTTTGGTGATTTTCCAGCCACATTAAGAATAATTGTCTTGATGCCAAAAAGAGCCCAACGGATTTTACTTTCACAAGTGGAGCAGTACGGCTATCGCGATAGTGTTCTGCTTGATTTATGCATATGAATTGCTTTCATATAAATATATAGACACTGCAATGTAAGTAGAACAGGAAAGGAAGAGCAGAAGAAAGGAGAAAAGATAAAAGAGGAAATAAAAGGGAGATGATGATAAAACATCCTCAGCTGCTTCATCACCTGCAAACAGATGTAACAAGTACAGCACAACCAACGGATATAGTATAAGATATACACTAAAGTAGCACCTTGATACTGTCACGTTCCCTTGATTTATAGCACTTTTAATAAGGTTTGCGGAAAAAGTCGGTCCAGAGTTTAGTCCATGTTTATTTTTGGATTGACTAACCTCCACCTGTTACTGCATAATATGATCAGCTAACTCACAGGCTTTATGTTGTAGAAACTTAAGAGCATCCACCTCTCATATTAATGTAATGCTATTTCAGAACTATCCTTTATAAGCTTTAAGCAGCATGTCTTTTAAACAGCCTAATGCAGGCAGCAGATAGCCTGACTAACTCTCTAGTTAATATCCAGAGGAAAGAGTATATAAAAAAATGAAACCAACATAAAATTTTATTCTACACCTATGTATAAAAAATAAATGAACAAAAATCAAATATCATAGCCAAATAATCAATAAATAGCATAACATTTTAGAATTTGAAGGAAATTTGATTATTGAATTTTATTGAACTTAATTTTTTTTAAATGAAAAACTTTTCTGTTAAGAATAAGAAAATAGCAATATATCACAGAGATATATAAAATAAACTTGTTCTAACTGAAGACTAAACTAAATCAGCATTCAAAGCATTTTTAGGTTCATTTATGTAATCTATAAGCAATTATGATATTTGTGACCTTTTAAAATTATATTTTAGCCATAAATCACTAATAAATAGACTATATTAAATTAAAAACAAGAAATAGGTAAAGCACATAAAGAAGTTAAGATATAAACATATCAAACATTTGATGAATTGAACATACAGTATTATTATTCTTATAATGATTTTTGTCAACGTAAGATTAAAATACTTCAATATGATATATATTTAATTTATATATTTTTCATAGAAAACTAAAACAAAAACAAAAAAACAGGGATATTTGTCGTCCTACAGCTGCATCCCGAAGACTACATTTCCCATAATTCAGCAGGAGCAATGACCCGCAATGGGGAGGCTGTAAAATGTCACAAGACAGTTTCTTTACGATATATATTTTCTGTTAACCAAAAGTAGTCATTTTTTCCTCTTTATAAACAACTACGTGTTTAAGTAAAACTTTAAAAGCGTTTTATTTGAAATGTTTAAATATTTACAGAAACACTTACAGAAACAAAAACTAAAACCTGAAAAAAAAAAAAAACTGTCAGAGGATTCATAGGCAGACAGGGCCAAGACTAACAGCTGTACATTTTTTAGAAGAGTTAACATTCTTACCTTTAACGCCATTGTGGCTGCATTGATCAATCATTACAGAAACAGGCCCTGTTTTTTTTAAGGTTTCCAGTCCTCAGCTGGTCATCTCCCCCCGCTTCTCAACTGCTTCTAGACCGAAAAGCTCGACAAGTCCTCCTTCCCCCGAAAGCCGTCGCGAAACGGTCCTCGACAAACGATTAAGAACTGTTTAAAGTCTTTAAACGACAAAAGAAAACCAGTTGAAGTGAAGCGGGGTCTTGTTCGGATCGAAGGAGCCAAGTTTGAACCGCGCAAGAGCTGCTGACAGCGCGGAGGGAGTGACCTGAGATAGGGAGAGAAACCGGAAAGGTTTTCCAAATCCGATATGGCTCCCCACAGAGAAATGAGCTAACTTTCAAAACAAAAAAAGATTAAAAAAATATATATAAAAAGAAATCTTGGTTAATTAAAAAAGCACCCCTCCCCCTCCCCACGGCAAAAATAAATAAATATATATATATATATATATATATATATATATATATATATATATATATATATATATATATATATATAGTTGTATCCCCTGTGGTTCTTAGTGATTGTCATTGCTGTGAACTAATCCTAGTACATGTTACAGGCAGAAACTGTATGCAGGTGGTTCGGGTTCCTGGGTTCAGCAGTGGTTCGGCAGTGACCTCACCCATGTTCACCCTGAATTGCTTTTTCTAACGTCTCCCCCTGCTGGACTAAATTTAACATTACAACGTATACTCAGATTATTTGAGAAGGTGGTGGCGCTATGGAGGACCAATCCTGCCATAATTAAAAATAAATAGAGAAATAAATAAATGCTCCAAAAATATATAGGCATACAATTAATTCCCCCCTAAAAAAATACTATAAAGAAATAAATGTAGGTAGAAATAATTAAATTATACAGTGAGACATAAATGTATATATCTCTTTTATTTAGCTTCTTTGTAATAATTACCTTATTTATTTATTATCCGTTATGATCTTCAACTTTATTTATTAATTACTTATTTCTTTAAGTATTTATTTATGTGCATTTTATAATATTTTTGTCTGGATTTTTACCTTTGTTTTTTTTTAACCCCATTTATATCTTCCATGCTATTTATTTCTGCCTGTTGTATTTACATTTCTGTATGCATTTCTGCCTCCTTATGCAAATGGGTGTGTCTTAGAGGGTCACCTTCTGCCCATTGGTTGGTTAGCAGCCACCGGCCACAGTCACAACAAACATGGCTACCTACGATGAAGCTGTCAGTGAGCTGAGACATTTAGCAACTGTTTTTAAAAACAGTGCAAAGGTTATTAGTTTTGACTTTATTATTTTTTGTTTTGATACTCTGACAGACCGTGGGTTTCAGTTAGCAGCACACATGGACACAGATGTTGACAATGTAGTTTTTCAGAATCTGGAGGAAGCGGCCCATCTTTTTAACTCGGTCACTAATGACCGCAGTGAAGTTTGTGAAGTTTGAATATTAAGGCTCTGAGGAGTCAGCGGGTTCTAGTTAACGGTTAATTCGACTGAGGGACTCTGATGTCGGCCACATTCTCCCAGCTGCTCCCTCCTCACACACATGGTGGTGCATTTAGAGACCATCAACAAACCAAGCACTATTGAGAAACAAAAATTAATAAATTCCTTATCTTATGACCAGCTAAGACCAATCTACCAGTCTGCCAAGGCTCTGGGAGCTCTTGCAGCTGAATTTTTGCAGCTGATTTGTTAATTTTTTTTTGCAGCTAACGTTTTTGGAGTCAGATTTATTGCAGCTGAATTTTTTGCAGGCACATTTTTTGCAGCTGAATTTTTTTTGCAGGCAATTTTTTTCAGCCGAATTTTCTGCAGGCAAATTTTTCGCACCTGAATTTTTTGCAGCTTATTTTTCACCAGATAGAAATTCAGTGTGAGGAATTTAATATGTAAAAAAGTTCAGTGCTAAAAAAATGTAATGTTTAAAATTCGGTGTACAAAAATAAGGAATGAGACTGTTTTACTTCCATTGACTTGAAATATGTATGCGGGACACAGACGTACACTTGGCATTTATTAATAATTGACTTCTCTAGTTTGTATAAAAACCTTTGGTCAGGACTATTATAGTCCACCGTACCCTAATCTAACATCAGGGAGAAAAAAAGTGAGAAACACTCATATAAAAGAACAAGTTGGAGTTTTTGTTCTTTGTGAGGAATACCCAATTAATATAGTATAGTAAAATGAAGTTAATCAAATCAAATATTCAGTACAGAGCAAATTGCATTCTTATCTCATTCTAAACTAATATAAGAAAGTTTTAATTTTGTCAAGAGTGCCGTCATGTGCACTACTTTAAGACCTTAAAACAAATCACCTTAGATGGTTTTAGTGCACTACATTAACACAAACTCAACAGAATTTAAATCTACTCTGTTTTTGTCAGATAAATAAATAAGAAGGTACTCTAAGGTAATTGCTAATGTCTTGTGATATGAAGCTGTTTTTTTCCCCCTGATGCATCCAACAGTGACGTATAAAACATGACGAATTAATGCCTGACCCTATGTTGTTTCCGAGCATGACTATATTGCCAGCCCTTTACTGGATCAACCCCTTTAGTGTCATAAAGCAACACAGTGGTCAGGCCCTCTACGCTGGTTTTATATTTAATATACGGTATTCATTTCTATCTGATCAGCTGACACATGGATCCCCCTTGAAAAGATCCTAATGACACTGATAAAGCCACAGCTGGTCTTGCTGCAGGCTGACCTGGCAGAGAGGTTTCAAGTGTCCCAGTCTGTAGTCAGCAGAACAAACATCTCCGTGGTTGGGTATTATGGAGGACCAATTTGGTTCAAATAATTAGATTAATTGCTTACTCATGTAAACAATTAATCACATGAGTGGCGACTTAGCCATTCAAAAGCTGGTATTTCAGCAGTAGGTTGAAACATATTGTGAGTTTTTTTTTCTGTATCAAGCAACAGCTTGCATGCACAGGAACTATCACCACAGAAACAATCAAACTCATTTTTTTTTTACAAAAAACATGCTACAATTTTGACTTTGGTTGCTGGTTTAAACAAACGTCAGGAATCTTTTGCAACGCTGAGGATAATATTAAGTCAAATTTGTTGTCAAGTTTGTTTTGAGAGACACAACAAAATAGTGCCACCCAGTGTCGAGGACTAGAAATCCTTGTACGCTGCAGGCTCCAGTTCTTAGGGGAAATGCCAAAAAAATAAATAAAAATAAAAGGTAAAGTGACAAGAAAGTGAGTATCTATTAGAAGTATAGACTTAGACTTAGACAGTACTTATTTGTCTCCCTCTGTAAATTAAGGTTACCAGCAGCTTACAGGGCAAAAAAGTGTTAAGTTAAATTAAGTTAAAATAAAGCACACAAAAAATAAAAAAGTACACATACAAATACAAAAATACAAATACAAAAAAATAATACAGATTAAGTACAGTGTATATAATAGGAGTTGTGTGTTTGTAATATAGGAGTTTGGCAGATAGATTGACCAGTAATATGGTTTGCACTTGCACTATGTGGTTTGTCCTGATAAATATGGAGTTCAGATTTTACAGAAAAAGTGTTGCTACTCCTTCCCTCTCCCCCCTGTCCCGTGTCGCCTCCTCGCCCCCAGTAAGGCGTTATACAGTCTGATGGCGTGGGGGGACAAAAGAGTTCTTAAGTCTATTGGTCCGGCACTCGGGAAGCAGTAGTCTGTGACTGAACAGGCTCCTTTGGCTGCTGACGACAGTGTGCAGAGGGTGGCTGCTGTCGTCCATGATGTCCATCAGTTTATGCCAACTCAAAACTATGAAACACTTGTCTAGAACATTGATAACCTATTATTGCAAGTGTCAATTAGCTGGAAGACATCCCCGAACTGGTAAAGCCTCTCTTCTTCTTCTTCTTCAATGCCATTTTTGTGATTGAAGCTCTAAGCTTTAATTATGCAGATTTACAATTCTCATGAATGTGCGCATACTTACTTAGTAACTGGAATGCATCATGTTTACGAGGATCATTTAGGGCAGTTACTTGAAGTTAAAAACCTTTATAGAATCTGATGTGGCGCACTTGTAGAAGTCCACAGTAGGAGGAAAGTAAGAGAAATTTATGAAAAGAATACAAAAATGTTGTTTCATAAGGCTCAGTGTCTCCTAAACCAAGGTGTTCAAACCATTGCAACAACGAGCAGAATTGTAAAAGTTTCTGACCGGCCAAATTCTTTACCGATAACATTTTTTGTCCCCGATACCCGATAGCTGGCTGAGCAGTATTGGCCAATACCATTCCGATACTATCTGCTTGAAATTGATGTGTGTGTATAAATGAAGAACTCCATACTGCTTGGATGTAAAATAATTGCTATCATGGCTTTGTCAAACTGCTGCCTACCTTTGTGAAGCAGGAAAAAAACTAATACAAAGTGAATCCAGTATAAGTTTTTATTGCCTACCTGGAATGGGTGACAATAGGTGAATAAACTTTAGGCTCTCAAAATGGTATCGGTGCCCTATTTGTAGGTACTGACCGATACCGATAGCACCATTTTAGTGCTGGATTAGGGCAATGTCCGATACTGGTATAGGTATCAGTGCAACACTGATAACAAATCAGATATTAAATCAGATTAAAACAGATCTATTTTATCATCACATTTATATCTGCTTAGCAATAAACTGAACAGAACTTATAGTATTTTATCACATATCTGTGGCTTGAAAAATGGATTTCCATGCCATATGGCTCAGCCCTATCTGGACCTGACTTATACTGTAAAACATTTTGCTCTCTTAAATCAATATAAAAAAGCCTCCTCTGCCAATGTGTGGCTGTTGTGTCCACAAATGTGACAAAAATTATAGTGAATGACACTTTCTATGAGTTTGGCGAATGAGCTGAGTGTTAATACTCTGATGCAAGGCTAACGTTTTTATTCTTGTGACAATAAAACAAGAACAAATTAGTTGGTTCCTGTTGAGTATGTAACAAGCTTAACTTTGTAAAATGCTTTGAACACACCCTTTCCATCATAAAACACAGAGGTGGCAGCATTGTACAGAGGAATTTTTTTTTATTTTTTTTATTTTCTTTAATGTGGAGAGCAAATAATTGTTGAAAAGCATGAGACTGGGGCAGATATTGACTCTAAAAAGGACAATAAAAATAAACTCAGCAATTAAATGGTTAAATTCACTGACGTATCAGAATTATGTACTTTAAATTGAGAGTTTAAGGAAGGACATTAAATTGCCTGTTTGTCTAAGGCAAATCTTTGACATCCAACAAGTATTTAGATATCAGTCTTGATACACTATATTGCCAAAAGTATTTGCT